ATTTACCACCTGGGGCTACAGCTGCTATCTCTAGAGGCTGCCACTGACTCTGGCTGTATCCAGGGCAGCCACACTCCTTCCAGGGCCCCTTGTGCTCCTGCTCCACACACCAGAGCACTTGTTTGGAGCTGAAACCCTATCTGCCCCAGCCAGGCCCTGGCTTTCCTGGTGGTCCCATCAGAGCACTGCATGTTAACTTCTTCAGTGCCAGGCCTCTTGCTTGTGGCCCTTGCAACTCTTCTAACTATTCAAATATTGCTTTTTGCCTAAAGATCTTTCTTGAGTTCAAGTGATTTGAAAAGCACTTTCTGCATTGCTTTTTATTTCCCTCAAACCAAGGGGGGAAAAAAAAGCAACAAAGAGGTAAGCAATTTAAATTTCCACTGCAATAATTAGTCTGTATATTATTTATCTTCATTGCATCGTTCCATTACATAAAACTAACTATACATTAAAGGAAAAGAAAAATGTATAAATATGGTACAGGATAGAACAGGCTGATTTTCACATGACCAATCAAGACAATGACATTTCACATATCATACTACAGCAAAATTCAGTCTTTTTGTAATTAGAAAGGAAACTATGGAGAAGCAAAGGGAGTCACACATTTTCCACAGTGTTTTTTCTTTATCAATAATCATTTCACAGTAAAAGCTTTGACAAGTTTGGTCTGCTGGTAATAGGATACTTTTGATCTCATGCATACACCTAGAGCCATGGTTCCTGTCTACCTCAGGGAACATTTTACAATATCTGCCAACATTTTAGGTTTTCCCAACTGTTGTTGGGGAAAAATTTTACTATGGAGAAAGGCCAAAGATGCCTCTAAACTTTCTACAATGTAGAACACAAGCCTCCACAATACAAAATTACCCAACTTCTAAAGGCAATTGCAGATGTTGAGATACCCTAGTTTTCACACACCCCATTCTGAGTTGCAGCCTTGAAAGAACAGACATCATTTGCTACTCCAGCTCCACTACCTAGTCCTTCTTCAACTGCTGTGATCTGTGTCTCCAGTGCTAGAGTCCACAGATGCTTTCTTGGTACCTGGTACTAGGTAGATCCACCAAGTATTTTCTTAAATGTATTTTGTTTTTCTTGTCACTTCATTGCCCATATCTTATCATACCTCTTCTGAGCCCGAGTCTCCTGCACTGGTACTTGTTTTCTTTGCTCCCTATTAAATACAGGGGTACTAAGCAGTGATGTCCACCTTTATCAACTGTTCCCCCTACATATGGCTTGCCTAAGAACTCACGTTTACTTTTCCCACTCCAATTTCTTCAACCTCTACCTGGGAAAGACCTCTCCTCTCAATTCCAGAATTTTGTTCTTTATTGAAATGTGAGAAATTTTTCCTTTGACATCTCCTTGGCATGCCAAACCATAGAGCTAAAGTTGACAACTATCCCTTGTGTCCACTGGTTATTTTATCATATCCTGTCCCTATGGATGGTAGGACTACATATGCAGACAGTCAGCAGAAATGAATATCTGGGAATCACACTCAATCTTCCCAAATTTGTCATAAAGTGATATGACATAAAATGTTAATTACTAAAAATGGTAATTCCTAAATGTGTTTCTTTTTTTAATATTTTTTAAGAGAGAGGGAGAGAGAGGGAGAGAGAGAGAGAGAGAATTTTAATATTTATTTTTTAGTATTTGGCAGACACAACATCTTTGTTTGTATGTGGTGCTGAGGATCGAACCCGGGCCACACACATGCCAGGTGAGCGCGCTACCGCTTGAGCCACATCCCCAGCCCCCTAAATGTGTTTCTAAGCATTTCCTCCTATCAGTCTTTATAGTTTTCAGTTTGAAATCTAAGATGAACTCTTCTCTGAATTATTTAACAATTGCTTAACTCTTCTCAGACTTTACTCATCATCCCTTTAATATAATTGTCAATTAGCTTTTAAAGATTTTCCTTGTACAAAACAAAAAAAAAAGTCTGCATTTTATGAATCAGCTTATGCCTACCTTCCCAATTTATTCTGCTCACCAACCTCACATCAAGCTCCCTGCAGTTTTCCAAATACCCAGTGTTCTTTTATACTTTTCTTTTTATCTACCAGGATGATCTTCCATTTCAGATTACATCCCAGACATTCTCATCTGACCTTCAAATCAGAGCTCAAATAATATATCCTCTTAGAATCTTTCTTCTTCTTCTTCTTCTTCTTCTTCTTCTTCTTCTTCTTCTTCTTCTTCTCCTTCTCCTTCTCCTTCTCCTTCTTCTTCTTCTTCTTTTTTTTTTATGTCTATAGGTAACAGCCAGAATCCTCTCTTAAAATAATTTATCTAGAAGAATTAAATATTTTCCTCTCTGGGTTCCCATAGTATCTTTTACTTGTTTCTATAATGGGCTTTATGGTTCGTTCATTTAATTCATTGTAATGATATATCTACATTCATCTACTTCATTTATATCTACTTCATCATTCCAAGTAGATTGTGTGCTGTTTGAGAATAGATTGGAATATCTCTTATTCTTTATTATAATCTAACACCTCTTTTAGAGATTATCCACATTCCATTTACAGATGAGGTCTTGAATGCACCATGACTGACTGAGCAGTTAGTTGAGTAGTACAAAATATAAAGGCAAACAATGATATCATTTTCAGCTAGTCCTCCATCATTTTATAATGAAATAATCAGTTACCAATAGGTATCAAAAAATCACAATGCCTTGACCAAATTTGCATATTTATGTTTTATGAGCTACATAAGAAGACTGATGAGCTCATGGAAAGCACTAAGCAACATATAAATGAATATTATTTGATCTTGTGTTACCTCAGATGGCATGAACTGATACGGCACTAGAAGAAAGAATATTATTCACTAACTAAATCCAATTTGGAAGCCTTCTTATTTACTTCTCTAGATCATAAGTAAATTCAAGCATTTCTACAGCTCATTTATTTCAAAATAAAAAAACACTACTGTCAAGTTACATGAAAAAGAATCATGGTTTAAATTTTTTCCTTCTGAAAAAGTTTGATTCATTATTAATGATGCAATTAGGAAAGACAGTAAACCTTTCAGATGAAACAAAAATAAAACATGCATGTGTGTGGGTTGCACTTCTAACACAGCTAAGACTCAGGGAAAAAAGAAATCTATGAGTAACCAACAATAAGACAATTAGTTTAAATAAACCATAATTTGGGGAATGAAAATTAGTTGAGGAATTAAAGCAGTTATTTGCTTCTGGGTACATAAAAGGAAAAAAAATGTTTAAAAAATTCTTGTTTTCATTTATGAAAAACACCACTGACAGTGGTTTTATATATATATATATATATATATATATATATATATATATATATATATATATATATATATATATATATCTCACAGTCCCTTCAATTTAAAAATTAGAAGATTCAGGACCTTGTCTTAGATTTCCATTATAGCTTATAGTTTGCATATTTGTCATTAAATCTTCATAGATTTCATTTTCTTTTCCTACAAAATGGGAGAATAATACCTGTCATATTGACCATAAAGCGGTCAGCAGGGGAAATATATCAATAGAATTTTACGTTGAAACATTTTAATATGTTTGAAACGTTCCAGAAATAAAAGATAAAAATGGAGCTGGGAGTGGTGGCACACACCTGGAATACAAGCTACTTGGGAGGCTGAGATAGGAGGATTACAAGATTGAAGTCAACTTGGGTAACTTATTGAGATCTGATCTCAAAATACAATAAAAAGGGTTGGTGATATAACTCTGTGACAGAGCAATTCCAGGGTTTAATCTCCAGGATCATAAAAAAAATTACAAATGGAAAAGTTAGGAATATTTGCATTCTTGAGGTTTTGCTTGTATATTTCACTAAAACTACATGTGCTCATATATCTTACTAAACCACATGATTATTTTTTGTGGTATCACTTTTTTGGAAAAAAATATCTGATGTACAATGCAAAATGGCACTAAAAGTTAAGATTCTATTGTTCATATCTCAAGGTTTTTCATACAAAATAAACTAGATCTTGGAATTTGTGTCATCTTTTCCAATTGGAGTGACACACTTTAAGCATCAGTGGGTTTTGTGGTAGAAACTGTAAATCAGAGGACAGGAGGCTTAAGAACAATAGCTTCCACCAGAACAGCAAAATAAGAAATAGTAAGATTTTCTTTATTAAAGATGCTCTCGTGTGTAAAGACAATTTTATATTTTAAAAAAATTGAATACACTGATATACAACCTTTGTAATTCAGTGGGATACCATGGAGCAAGTGATTGATCACCATTACTAACTTTAATTAAAGACATTGGTCCAGGAGCTATTACTCAGCACTCCCAGCCCAGTTCTACTCCTTAATTCTCTTCTGAAGACCTATTTAAAACCAGAAAGTTGAAGAGTACAATATTTTTTTAGGAAAAGTTATTGCCATCTTCTTCACAATTCATTCTATATAAAATTATTCCTAAGAACAGTTCAGAATTTTTACATATATATGATATATATCTATATACACATACATATGTGTATATATTAAACCTCTAAATAATTTATTAGTTTATATATCATATATGCACGTGTATATACAGATATATATATATATACATATATATACACACACATATATATTCATAAATAATATACATGTACCCAAAATAGGTATGATATTGAATTTATCCCTTGAATTAGATGTCATGTCACACTGCAACTTTAATTTTAACATAGCCAACTTTAATACTTGGTTATATCTCCCATTAAAATGCAAATTTTAAATATGGGCAGCATCATGAATCACCACCTTTAACATGAGAACAATCTCCACATTGATTTAATATCAACAAATGTGTCACAATACCTCTTACATTATTTTAATCAGATTTCTTTGGAGAAGCCAAAGTGAAATTACCTAGTACACTGATTCTTAGACAGTATTAAGCATCTATGAGAAACAATTAAAATTTACTAAGAATAAAGTCAATGTGCATATGAGGTTCATTATGTTCACTTACATGCCACTTCCAGAGATGCATTTCGACTCACTGCTTCGCCAAGATAGTTCCTTGCAACACAGACATAGCTCCCTTCATCAGGTTTACTTCTGCGCCCATGCACGATGCGCAAGAAGAATAAGGATCCGCTGGGCAGAAGCATCCTGTGAGACCTGGGATCATCCTTGTCAGTCTCCACCCGCTCACCATCCTTGTACCATTCAATGGTGGGTGTTGGTCGGCCCTCTGCCTTACAGTTCAGAGTGGTGGGCTCTCCCTTAGAGACAATGACATCCGAAGGGTGCTCCACAATCCGTGGGGGAAAATCTTCCTGGCGGAGTCGAGATCCTACAAACATGACAGAACAAGATGAGCTTTAACATTTCCATGATGATGATGTTGAATTTTTCCATTATTTAGTTGAATAACTGAACATAATTGCTTTATTTATGAATCCCACATTTGATTTTTATGCAGCTCATAAGTCATACCAACTCTTTTGTAGAAAGAAATAACATAGCAATAACTTAATGTTTATTCTAGTAAGTTACATTTCCATGAATTTTTTTTTTAATTTTGTGTCACTTTTTATTAAGAGGGAACCTGTATCAGTATTTTAAAGGGTAAACAATAAAGAACTGAAATGTCAAAGGAATCACATTAGCAATCACATAGTAGACAATAACTCTTACACTGTCTTATTGCCTTCATACAACAAATGCATAATATTTAAGCAAAATTTAATTGTTACTAAGCAAACATTTTTGCATATACTTCCTTCTCTTTATCTTTCTCTGCCTTTATCTTCTGTTTGACTTTTAGCATTTCTGCCTGGATGGCTTTATCTTCTGGTACAGTGCTTTGGTATTTGATGAGTCCATTTCAAGAGCCTCTAAACAACTGTCAATTGCTCCCTACCAATTTGACCTCTTCAGTTTACAAGCACCAATATTCAGCACACAGTTTAAGGCAATAGATTGCAGCCTGGATCCGTCTGCTTTCTCAGTAACAGCCTTTGAACTATCCACATATCTTAAAACCTTTGCATATTTTTTAATAGCCATGAATCTTGACAAGCAAAAAGATTTTCTTTTGGGACCAACATGTTGAAATGGGGGAAAAAACCTAATTTCCTGTCTGAAGTACTTACTAAGAAAGGTAAGTGGGAAGTGCTTAGAAGACAAGAGTTACCACTTACTGGGCTGGCACTGTGTTATCAAACTTCAACACAAAAGAGGCCAATGAATTATGAACAATATAGCTCACATAATACTTGAGGAAGTAGTTTCGGAGTGGTATCAGTTGCCCAGAAATGTAGATGAAATTAACAGAACAGGCAACACATGAACCCAGGTTTGTCTGTCTGAGGAATTCAAGTAATAAGTCATCAAGTTAAAGTGAAATGTATTCTAGGGTGGTTCAAGAAAGCATTATAGGATAAAAACAAAGCTTTAACCCTAACTACAGCATAATAAAAGACCTCTTCCCAAAAAGGTGGCAGAAAGAAAATATGTCACCTGAGTGAAGAAGACACACAGACTGAAGCAACACCATGAACAAAGGGTAGAGCAATGAGATTATGCACATACTGCATTTCATAACCAGGGAGCAACTTGATGCAGCTGGTGAAGATACAACTGGTCTTGAGTATGATACAAAAGGGCGTGCATATCATATTAAAGAGTGTATCTTTTATCCTATGTGGCTAACAAGCTGTGAAGGGGCAGTGACTGGACTTTCTATATTAGAAAGACACTTTTATTTGCAGTATAAAAGATGGATAGCAATGGAAGTAAAAGATGAAAGAATTAGTCAAATAAAACAATAAAAAGAATCTAACCTCAAGAAATGACGCTGCATTTAGAAAAAGGGAAGCAGTTATAAAGCATATTATAATATAGACACCTGACAGAATTTTGTATGTTGCCATATAATAAGAAAAATTGATGAGTATTGCTGTGGTCTGAATATGCTGTGACCCCAAGGTTCTTCTTTTGGAAAACTGGTTCACAGTATGGCATTATTGAGAAAGGGTAGATCTTTAAGAAGTGGGGCATAGTGGCAGGTAGTTAGGTCATTGGGAGTAACATCCTTGGAAGGAGTTACTGCTGGATTTGTAGAGTTATCTAGTTCTTCTTGCAAGAGTGAGCTGTTTTTAAAAAAGTAAGCCTGCCTCTGAAAGGCTCTGGCTTTGTCTTTCCATTTAATCTGTCTCTTACAAGTGCACTCACAGTGCTGACATCCACCATGTTGTGTCACAGCCAGAGGCTCCCATTAGAGCCAGTGGATGCAGGCACCAGGCTCCTGGACTTCCAGGACTGTGAGCTGTGTAAATCTCTTGGCTCTATAAAGTACATAGCCACCAGTACTTAGGTACCACTGACTTCCTTCTGATATCAATGAAGGTTGAGCCACAAAGGGCCCAGTGAAATAAAAACAAAAGCACATGGTGGTACTTTAAGGTCTAGTTTTTGTACAGTGTGATGTTTTGGATACTTCAAATTTCTAAGGTATTAGTAATCATTATTTGTGGTAATGTTCTATAGCTTCTGCAAATAAATTAAACTGAAATGCTAAAAGGAATACCCATGTGTGGGCACATAATGATGACCTAAATAAGAGTTTCTTAATAGTTTGTTCTTATAATTTTCCACACATTCACCTACTATGAATACATTTTTGATCAATAAACAGAAGTAATGTTTACTCCTCAAGTAAATTTAGTTCACTTTTAATACTAATTGGAAATGCATATTTTAAGTTAACAAAGGGAATTTAATTTGGTCATGAATAACTTGCTCTTGTTTGATGAGAATTAACTTTTAAAGTTTGTTGACTATCACTTTTTATCTTATACAGAAAAAAATACATTATAAGTGTTAGTATGTAAAGCAAGAGAGTAATTTACAGTTGACAGATAAGAATAAGGAAAAGATTAACATTAAACAGAGAGGAGTGGTGGGAGGGAAAGGGAGAGAGAAGGGAAATTGCATGGAAATGGAAGGAGACCCTCATTGTTACACAAAATTACATATAAGAGGTTGTGAGGGGAAAGGGGAAAAAAAAACAAGAATTGAATTACAGCAGATGGGGTAGAGAGAGAAGATGGGAGAGGAGAGGAGGGGGGGATAGTAGGGGATAGGAAAGGTAGCAGAATACAACAGTCACTAATATGGCATTATGTAAAAACATTGATGTGTAACCTATATGATTCTGCAATTTTTATTTGGGGTAAAAATGGGAGTTCATAACCCACTTGAATCAAATGTATGAAAGATGATATGTCATGAGCTTTGTAATGTTTTGAACAACCAATAAAAAACATAAAAATGAAAGAAAGCAAATGAATAAGTAAATGCAATATAAATCTCAATAATATAGGTTATGTATCCATAAATACCAGGTTTGTAAATCCAACAAGGCTTTGACAGAATACATAAAGTAACAATTCTTTCTTAATTATCAAAAAATCCCAAAGAATTTAAATCATATTTTGCAAACCAATAACATATTCTCAAATGGAAAGGTCTGGACATATAAGTATAGAATCTGATTCTAAAATGCATGAATAGTTGCATGTCACTTTTTATTTAACAAGCAATATGGTGGGCTACAGTCTTGTTTATTATCTTCTTGTTCTTCTCTAATTTCCCGTATGCAACAATCTATATTTTTCCTACTGTAAGATAATGTTGTATTGCCAAAAGTAAGCAACTTGATTTTCCACACTACTGGGTGGCTGTTTATTGTATCAAATAGTTCCCTACTATAAAAGGCAGTCATATTGGATAAGGCCTAAATAGGACATGAAATACACAAATTATATTAAATAAAATGTAAAGCCAGGTGCGGTGGCATACACTTGTAATCCCAGCAGCTTGGAAGCCTAAGACATGAGAATTCCAAGTTCAAAGCCAGCCTCTGCAAATGGGAGACGCCAAGCAACTCAGTGAGACCCTGTCTCCAAATAAAATACAAAATAGGGCTGGAGATGTGGCTCACTGGTCAAGTGCCTCTGAGTACCAAATAAATAAATAAATAAATAAATGGAAAAATAACAAGGGAAAAATATCTAAAATATTTAGTAATGGATTTACAATCCAACATATTCAATGAACACACAGAAGAGTTTACTCATCTATCATTAGCACATAGGTACATTATGTTAAATACAGATTGTTAGTGTTGTCACATCAGGATATTCCTGTAGTAAATTTATTCCCATTATAAACACTTCAAAAGGCCACCTACCACCTATATGTAAGAAATAAAACTATCCAGCAATTGGAAGAAATTACAGAAGCAAATTTTCATGTCCTTGGGTTAGCAGAAGCTTTCTTGGATTAAAAAAAAAATAAGCAACAGAAATAAAACTAGACAAAATGAACTTCATAAAATTTAAAAATGTGCTTAAAAAAACAAATCAAAAAATGAAAGCAAACTCAGAATCAGAAAAAAAATGAAAACAAATTATATATCTGGTAAGAAACATACCTCAAATATATAAATAATAATTTAAAAAAATAAATAACCAAATTTCAAAATGTGCAAGTGGTTTTAAATTTAAAAACAAGTTAGAAAAATAGCCAGTAAGCACACAGAAAGATGCAGGTCATCATTAATGATTAGGAAAATGCAAATCAAAATCACAATGAGAAAAAATTTCATACCCATTAGGTGGCTATATTATTTTAAATAAAAGTAAAATAAAAAAGTGTTGTCCAAAATGAAGAAAAACTTGAGAGCTTCATATATTGCTGATGAGAATGATGAGAATGTGAAATAGTAAGACAATCTGGGAAGTTTTGAAAACACCAAACTTGTAGTGACCATGTGACCCAGTAAAGCTATATATTCAGGAGGAATGAAACCACATCCCTAACAAAAAAAAAAAAAAAAAAAAAAAAATTTGTAGATGAATGTTCAAAGCAGCATTATTTATAATAGTCAAAAAAGCAGAAAAATTAAATGTTGATCAATGAACAGATGATGATGAATAAATAAATACAATGTGTTATAGCCATATAATAGAATATTATGGCTCAATAAATATGAATAAGAACTGCTGTTATGCTACAGCATGGATTATCCTTGAAAATGTAAGTGAAAGAAGCTAATCAAAAAAAGTATATGTAGTCCATTTTACATTTTCATCCATACAAAACGTCCAGAATAGGAAAATCCATAGAGATAGGAAGCTCATTAGTGGAGACTTAGAGCAGGGGGATGAGAGTAGAGTCAGGGAAAATGAGGAGTTACTGTTAGGGGGGATGGAGTTTCTTTGGAGGGTGATCAAAATATACTAAGTTGAGCATGGTGACAATTACACAACTCTATAACAAAACTTG